AGCCATGAAAGCAAAGCACACAGAAAGTAAGTCTTCTGGCTGAAGAGTCTGGAAGTAGAGAACTGAAGAGTTGATCTGTGAAGGGATATTGGTGGTTAATACTTCACATCAAATCATTTGTGTAATTCACGGTCCAAATGACACCCGTAGTGCTTGGTTTCTTCAAGTGATTTCTCTCATTGTGTTTATGAAGCCTTGCACCAAAAAAGAATTTGAGTTGAAGCCAGCTGGGAAGAGAAAGAATGATGTGCACATTATCATAGATATTTGGACCAGGATCAGAGGTCAAATTGTGGATTATATATCTATCACAGCACACAGGGTAATGTTTCCACTGCAGCCTGTTCAGATTTACAAAACCAAATATCATCAGAAAATGTTCATAGCTACAAGTAAACGATTTCAGAAAGGACCACACTGTATGAAATGCCTCGCGCCTGAACTAAGTTTCCAGTGCAGTTTGCTCTAAAGTTTGGTAGCTGTTGATTAATTTTATCTATGGGGCTAATCTTTCTACATTTTTGTTTACTATCTAACTTCAGTTATAACTATGGGTTTTTTCTTCAGTAATAATATCTGATAAATCTCAGTCTCATTTAAATCTATGGCAAAGTTCCTACTGACTTCAATATTTCCAAGATTTGTCCTAAAGGGTGAAATTTACGCCATGCATGACCAGCAGAAGGCCCATCTGAAAGCCTTCAAAATAAACTTTCTACCAACCATGCCATTATGTATTCCATATATTTTTCTCCTCTGATCTAATGTTGGTGTGAAGAAGAATTTGTTTTATTCATTAGGATTAGTGTTTCTTGATAACCGTCAAAGCAAAATTGGTCAGTATGGGCACTATGAAGGTAACCATGATGAGAGATAGATAATAGTATAGATAGTCTTCTTTGCTTTGTGACATAGTACTCTCATAAAGAGCAAATGTGAAAGGAAAAAGGAATCAAATGAAAACAAATGTTGCTGTTCAAATGGATGAACTTTGGCATTTCAAGCATGAATTGAAGCATACTAAATTACTATTGAAATCTATTGCTCTACCTTTTGGATTACCACAGTAGTTCTTCATAACTGCGTGACCTTTGAGATGAATTGATAATGTCAGTACTTTTTTCCCCATCTTCAGTTGTATATTCCTCCCAAACTCCATAGTCATGATATGCTGAACAACCGAAAACCCATGTTTAAATTTATACACGGTTCTCTCAAAAAGCTTATTTGCATAACAAATAATTCCATTTGAAACTTCTAAAAGCCTAGTCACCTGACTACGGTGCTCCTTGCTACCCTCGGAAGGCCTGTGGAAGGTAAGCATGTGCTAAGTCCCATTTAAGATGATGAAGGCTGATATCTTGCATCCAATCTGCAGGCATTGGATTCTTCCATGGTAGCCCTGGTGTTGTACTTTGTGGCTTCAGCAAAAAGTTCTCTCAATGGCACAGGATCCTCAGTAGAGGGGAACCACTAGCATATAAGTCCCTTGAGCAAAGTCCTTTCTATTTTGGATGCACTCCATGACACAAGATAGGGTTCCCCTCTCTTCTTTGTCAGTTCAGTTCCACTACTCAATACATTTTGAGTTTGTGGCCAGTTTGGTGGCTCCCAAAGTGTCACTGGAGGAATTACTGGTAGAAAGATTATGCAAATGAAGTTCTCTCTGCAGCCATACTTTCCCTATACACCAGTAGATGGGGACAGAGAGCTTCTTCCCCTGGGACATGCCTCCTCAGTTCTAGGTAAATAGCTTACGCAAATGAAGCAGCTCTGGGGCCATTCTTTCCCCTGTTCAACAACAGAGGGGAACTGAGAGCTCTTTATTCTCTGAAGCAGTGGTGGGCAACCTGCGGCCCGCAGCCCATCAGGGTATTCCGCTAGCGGGCCGCGAGACAGTGTTTACATTGACCACCTGCATAAACAGCCGCCCGCAGCTCCCAGTGGCCATGGTTCACAGTTCCCGTCCAATGGGAGCTGCAGGAAGCAGCGGCCAGCCCACGCCGCGGACGGTCAATGTAAACACTGTCTCGCAGCCCGCCAGCGGATTACCCTGATGGACCACTGCTTAAAGCGTCAGGCCACAATGCTTATATTGATATTATTGTTAATATACATTAGGGAAACCACTGTGAATCATTATATGTCCCATTATGAAACCCTTATCCACACTAAATAGTACATTATTCTGCAGGTAATACCATTGGTTTGTAAGGTACTGCTCAGCATGAGTACAGATAGCAGAATCTGGCCTTTATGAATGTGTAGAGAATATGTGAAAACAGAAGACTTTATTCTGGAAAGCTTTTCTCTGGATGTGTCAAGTCTAATGTAAATCATTGAAAGAATGCATATACCACCTTCTGGCAACAGTCTTTCTCCATGGTCTGGTCCTCTACCAACCACAAGATGAAGGTTAAATTGTTTCAGAGATGCCATATCAGTAAATTAGGTTATTTCACCTTTTTGCAATCGTGGATTCAAATTCTGTAGACAAAAAACACTCACTAACATCAGTCTGGCGAAGGCTCAGTAACTAGAGTTGTGAAGGGCATTCTACAAAGTAGAGCAATGCTATTCACACAGACCTAAGCCCACAGGTAGGGAAGGAGCCATAATACAATCTCTGTGTGGCCACTAATCTTGCACAAATCTTGAACTGCCTCTATGTTGTGGTTGTGAACAATGGGGAGAACTAAAGCAAGCTTAACGACTTCAGGAAGCAGGCTCTTCCCTGTGTTCTATCTAATGCTATATGCTAAATGATAGAGTAGTGCATTCTATGTAATACTGTAGCAAATTATTTTATGGGTCAGATTCTACCATTCTCTACTTAACATGAGTAATAATTTACTCCACCATTAGTCCCATTTTCTTCAGAGGAATTACTCAGAGAGAGTAAAGTACTATTCATTGTGAGTAAGAGAGGGAGACTTTGGTCCTAAAAGAGGAAATGTCTACTGTTTCTCTCATGCTATTGAATTCTTTCCTTGGGGGCGAGAAGTTGAACTTGGCAGCTGATAATTTGCAGTTCACCTTTATGGGATGAGGTGGGAGGGGAATATATATTGACAGATTTCTTATTTTTATCAAAATGTTTATTAGTGTCTTGTCTTGTTAGCATCAGGAATGCTCTTCCATAATGGCTCTCTCACCGTAGCCTTCCCTGTAAAAGTGGGAAGAGATCCTGCAAATTAAGCACAATTACATTATCCTGTTTCAAGCAAGGTTAAGATTGATTCTAAAACCCATAGGCAAAAAAGACTGAATTCTGAATTCAGCCACCTGGAGGTGAGACTTAGCAGCTGGCTTAGTGTTTGTGTGATGACCCTCTCCTGACTTTCTTTCTGCTGCTTCTCAATGAAGTGTGAGTCCAGACACAGGTTTCAGCCAATGCATTGCTTTTTTTTTTATTTTGGAGGCTGCTCACAATGCACCCATCACTTTGCTACTTTGCCCCATTCTCCTTCAGGAGAGGTTAGCTTTCAAAGATTTTCCTCCTATAGAGCTGTTCTCATTCTCTCTCTCTCTTGCCAGAAGGGAACATGCAATAGAACTGCTTTGAGGAGGAACTGGGTAAGACGGGGTCAGTGGGAGCCTAAGGCTCATTAGGATATTTGTCTCTCACTTCTTTATAAATAGATTGTAATGCCTTTAGTTTTTCAGTACTGTAGAGAACCAGCCCACAATGTTAAAAAAACAAGTGAAATTTTCCACTGGGATGTAATGTTGCTCAATGTTACAATACCCTTTCAGTAATATTCAGAGAACTAGGAAACCCTGGACAATGATGGTGCAAGCTGTCTTTGGAGAGAACAGGTCTAGCAGCCACATCCTTCCTCTTTCTGATGAAATTACCAAACAAAATGCACCCGTGGAGGGAGTGGCTAAAGTTCATGTTCAGATGGTTACTCTGGCAATGAAAATGTTGAGGTGTACGGCCAAGATTTTCCAAAACAGAAGCCTAAAATGTAGTCTCCTGATTCCATATTTAGCCACTTGCCTGAGTGTTAATAGTGCAGAGAAACCAACAGTTACCACTGAGCCGAATTTTAGGCTCTTTTTTGTTAAAATCTTAGAGCAAAGTCCTAGTCCAGGATGGAAAATAGGGCTCTTTGTGTAGAAATGTTAAAAAGCACCTATTGTCTGCTGAAGCTGTCTACTAGAGCTGGACAGAAAATGGGAGATTTCCACAGGGTGGGGAGGGGGAAATCAACTTTGCAATGAAAAAATGAAAACCGGAAAATCAAAACTTTTTCCGTTTTTGTCAACCAAAATCTGAAAATCTCTGGCTAAAAACTACTGAAAACCATATATTTGAGGGGTGGAGAGGACTTAAATGTTCTGTTTTCAGGTTTTTGTATTTCTGACCAAAAAATTGAAAATTTTCAAAGAACATAAGACATAGGACTGGAAGGGACCTTCTTGGTCATTGCGTCCAGCCCCCTGCTATCACAGGCCTACAAGGAAAGTGGACACTTCTGTTGAAAAACTAATTTTCCATCAAAAATAGTTTTAGATGAAAAATTTCACCTACCCTAGTGTTTATTCTTCCATAGAGCAAGTCATAACTGAATCGGTTTCACCCGCTAAGTGAATGGATCAAGTGAAACCTTTTTTCTTGGTCTTGTTGCTATTTCTGCTGCACCTGTTTGCTCTTTACCATGTACTTCATATAGGTGTTTCCCCACTGGCTGCTTCCTGAAGAGATGATTCCACCATCCCTGTGGTTTAAATCCTGTTTTTACTGGGTTTCACTGGAGCTTGTGCACAGACAGAATATGAGACAGTGTGGAAGTGTCAATGTGACTACATCATTTAGAATCTTCAAGTTCATCTGTGAGCCTGCTTCATGTCAAGATGATTTTTCCTTGTGTGTGCTCATGGGCTCATTCTTTTTGTTTTTTTTCCAGCTTGGCTTAATGCTTTTCCCTTCTCTCCTCCGTTCAATAGTCATTATTCAAGGATTCTAATTAGAACTCCAAATTGCTCTTTTTCAGGTCACGGAACTCAATAATGTGAAGAATATATTACGACTGCCAAAAAGCACGAAGAAACATGCTGTAGGCATTTATTTTAATGACGACACGTCCAAAACCTTTGCTTGTGAATCAGGTGGGTAAACTCGCACAGTATATTAGAAAACACTGGAATGTAAATTGTGAAATTATAAACATATTGTACCTACACACAGATTTTCTGGGCATTTATACAGAACTCGAGGCGGATGAGTGGTGCAAAGTGCTGCAGATGGAATGCCTAGGAACTCAGATTAATGACATAAGCCTTGGAGAGCCTGACTTGTTGGCATCTGGTGTAGAAAGGGAGCAGAGTGGTATGTACAGAAATATTGAACTTTATAGCGTTTAGAAAGTTTTAGAACATAATTCCTACCTGAGGGCATGGCTCAGTTACTGAAATGTTTGGGCTGTGCACGTAGAAACCAGAAATATACTCAAGCTTTTACAACCTGGTACAAAAACCAAACCAACAAACAAAAAAACAAACCCCAAAACAAAACAAAAACCACCAATCTTGATTGTTATCAGCACTAACTAACCTGTTCTGCTAATCTGACACGCTGATTTAGGATTTTAGAAATGTTCTAGTAAGATTTTTCAGACAAATTAGGTGCATTGTAATCTCTTTGGGGCAGGGAACGCTTTTTGGTTCTGCATTTGGAAGGAACCTAACCAAATAAGGTCCCAGTTCATGACTGTGGCTCGGAGGCACAAATACAAATAATAAATATTGCAATATAAATAATAATTGCATACATAATCTGAGCTGAATTACTTCACTTGCATATGGAAATCAGCTAATTGTATGCACACATGTGCTTTCCATGATTTAATTAGTGCACACAATTTTATTAACTGCATGCAAAATACAGTTGTGAATGCCTTTTGTGTGCCCACATGCATTTACCTTGAAAATACAGGGCCGCCCGGGGGGGCAAGTGGGGCAATTTGCCCCGGGCCCCGCAGGGGCCCCCACGAGAGTTTTTCGGGGCCCCTGGAGCGGGGTCCTTCACTCGCTCCAGGGGCCCCGGAAAACTCTCGTAGGGCCTGGGCCCCCGGAGCTTCTTCCACTCCGGGTCTTCGGTGGCAATTCGGCAGCGAGGGCCCCCCGCCGCCGAAGACCCCAGGCCCCCTGAATCCTCTGAGCAGCCCTGTGAAAATACACTCCTCTTTGAGACGCACAGGCTGGAATCTCCCCTCCTTTCAAGCGGCCCTAATTATTAGCTTATTTCCCCTCTATCTGTATACTGGCCAAACACACACTCTCAGATTCCCATGTATGGTTAACATATTAGAATTTATAATTAGCCCTCATCCCATTTCTGTTGCAAACTGAGTCCAGGGACTTGCACTAAAAATATAACGGAGAATGCAACATCAGCTACATTTTTAACCATTCATTGAATCTAAAAGAGTTAATTTTGAACGCTTAGGTTGTCTTCTCACCTGAAGAAAACCTGGAATTCCTTTAGCAGCATTTCTCCAAGCTTTTTTAAAACCAGATTTCAGAGTTAAAAATCTGAATCTGTGTTTCATTCCATTGTCTTTTTAGAGACATTGTCTCCATTGTCCATTGCAATTCCACTGACTTAAACAGTGTTATACCATCACAGAACTAATGTAACAGAGTGGAGAATCAGATTCTAAACCTCTAAAATACTATCCCGGCTTGAAATTAAAGAACATATTAATTTTCAGATTTACTTGCCACTTTCCTCTATCGATTCTGATTGTTACTCATTCAATCCAAAATATGTGCACTAAGTCAAGTGACTGAAAAAAGGTGATGAATGAGAAGGAACCAGTTTGACAAGTGGGTGAGTGGCTTTAGATAATTCCATGTCTGCGAGAAGTAGACTGAGGGAATCCTCTTTGCGAAATTGAGTTCATATAAAATCTTAAGCAGTCATGAACATAGATTAGAGACTTATTAAATGCACAGACTTGCACTGCACTTTATTCTTGTGACGCTTTTTATATACAACCATAATTATTAGAAGAGAAATTCATTGCTATAGTTCTTCACAGTGACATACATGTCCTGAATGTAAGGCCTGAGTAAATAGGCTTTGTCTGGGGAATCAAAGCCTACTTGGGTAGAGAATGCTGAATCTTCTGTGCAATCCCAACCCGAGCCAGGGCACTGGAGAGTTTCCCAGCTCTTCCTGAAGGTCATGGGTAACAAGTTTTAGCCTACTGCAACCTTCCATATGATGTGTTGTCAGTGAATTTGTGTAGGTCTGGATCCATTAGCAATGTCCCAGTCACTTCCCAGGCCATACCAGAGCTCACCTCCCTTCCAATCTCCTGCAGAGCAGGCCACTGGAGAGTTTACTTGTGCAGCATGCAGAGAGCTGTTAAATTCCACTATGTGGCTTCTCTATGGTCTCCAATCCTTGAGGCCCCACATATTGAACCTTGGCAGCTTGAACTTTCTCCCTTGGTATTTGGAAGTTGAAGCTAGACAAATTCAGACCGGAAATAAAGTGTAATTTTTTTAATGATGGGAGAAAATTAACCACTGGAACAATTTACCAAGTCTCATGGTGGATTTATCACTGATGATTTTTAAACCAAGGTGGGACTTTTTTTTTCTAAAAGATCTGCTCTAGGAATTATTTTTGGGAAATTCTATGGATTGTGTTATACAGAAGGGCAGACTAGAGAATCACAATGATCCCTTCTGGCTTGGAATCCAGGACTCTATTAGGCCCTTTACATATGTGTAATAAAATAGACCTTTGCCCCAGAGAGCTTCAAATCTCAGTTGTTTTAAAAGGTGATCACGTAGATAACATTTTATGGATTTTTAGAGACCATTGCTATGTACTGTTTTTATGGTACTTAAATGGCTTCACTCTGTATGCAGTATATTTTTAGAAATAAATGTAATCAATTGAGGGAAGCGAGTTTTTATTCTTGGAGTAATTGCTAAAAGTGGATATAAGATTTTGTAATTATAAATAAAGGAAAAATAGGAAAATCTTAGAGATTTTAGACCAACCATTTGTTTTTCTTCCAGAGAGATTCAATGTGTATTTAATGCCATCCCCTAATTTAGAGGTGCATGGGGAATGTACCTTGCAGATAACATTTGAGCATATCTGTCTTTGGGATATCCAGAATCCCAGAGTAAAACTCATCTCTTGGCCATTAAGTGCCCTCCGGCGGTATGGACGAGACCCAACTTGGTTTACGTTTGAAGCAGGGAGGTGAGTGTCTTGCTATAATACTATAAGCCATTTTCATAGAGAGGCGATAGGGGGGCTAATCCTAGGTGATACTAATGAGCTTTCCCACTTCATACTGAAGTGAATGAGAGTGGAGATTGTTCAGAACCTTACAGAGGAGGTTGCACACCTTGTGGGGAAAAAAGTTCACATTTCGATATGGATAGTTTTAAGTTGCTGCTTTATAAACCACAACTTTTGCACACTGATTCTACTTTTTACTGTGTAGTTATTTTTAATAAATACTGTACATGAGCCTGGAGAATTGGATGTACAGATTTAAAAAAAAATGGGGGGAAATATCATACTCTGCCAGTAATTCGTACAACACAAAGATTGACCCTTGGTCACTAATAGCACCTACCTTAGCCATAATGGCATGAAGATTCAATTAGGAGTTACTAATGGATCTACTAGCTACATGTACAAGTATTTCAAGTTGAAGGCAAACTCTGCTCTCAAAATTTTACTGGAGTTCTGTGCAATTAGGGAGAGCTAAATAGTGGAGTCAGGATCTGCCATGTAGATGCAAGAGGGGAATTTTGCCTTAAAGCATTGGCATTAGTGTTAAAATGCTATTTTAATTCCTATTAGACCCTTATGTTTTATGTTGAGATGGATGTTTCTCTATAGAGCTGAAAGAGCAACAATCTGAAGAGAAATGGCGTGGTGGCTTCACACAGGTCCCAGAGGAAATTTTGTGCTCTCCTAATGGTGCAAATCAATATAAGCCTAATTACTGACTTTCTCAGCAAATTTACATATTGGTCTCCTCAATTAAATAAAGTTCACATCCACCAGTGCATGTGGAGGTAACATTTCTCTTCTTAGTAACTCTTCTGGTCTAGGAGACACTTCCCTATTTCTAACAACATCTTTAATAAATCTAAAGAGATACACAATGCTTTAATTTAGTTCAGTAATGTAGATTCTAGACAGGGGCCTGAGTCTCACAGCTGAATCAGACCCTTTCAAGCGTACATAGTTTGAAAGTGAAATACACCAAGGACTTGATTCTGTAATGTTTACATTGAGAAGCAATTATGTGCATAAGTAAATACTACTCCATGAATATGGGTTGGAGAATCTGGCCCATATGTTATTGATAATGATGAGTAATCATCATATCCTGTTCTAATGGTTTGTATATATGCTTATGAAGTTGTATCTAAATCCGTGTGTTTTACTGCAAACAATCACTTGTTATTTTTATTACCTTTTGCTTTGATATCACTTTTTTTTTTACAGCAGTAGTGCCGAAAATATACTTTACAAATCACCCTGAACAAATGAAAACCTCACATTTGGATCATTTCTGTTCTCGCTTTGGCAGGATGTGTGACACTGGGGAAGGACTATTCATCTTTCAGACAAGAGATGGGGAGGCGATCTATCAGAAGGTTCACTCAGCTGCTTTGGCCATAGCAGAACAACATGAGCGCTTATTACAGAGTGTGAAAAATTCAGTGGTATGGCTGTTAGTTGTGCTTGTCATCCAAGACTCCGCATTAATGAGTAACACAATTCATAGACCACCTTCTTGACCGTGTTCTTAATTTTTGATTTACAGATATTAAATAGTTTGAGTGCATGATGATTTTCTTCTCTTCTAGTTAAGGTGTTAATGTGTTCAGTTCTGATGGCATTTAGCACTTGGGGTTACTAAAGCAGTAAATAATTATGATTGCTTTTTTAAGCAACTGAAAGTAGAGAAGTTTCTGCATTATGTTCCTTGATTGCGTTATTTGTAAAACCATCAAGAGGTGTAAATTGCTATAGGAAAGATGGCTGGGTCCTGTAGGCACATGTTTTCCATTCTCATTAGCTTCCCATTATTAATTAGCAACTTGAGTAGTTTATTTGGAAGTGTTTCTCATCAATGTAATTCCAAAATATTGTGGCTGACTCATGGTTTTCCATTTATTAATTGATGTCTACACTTTAAGAATAATTTAGAAAGTGTCATATGTTGTTTTAAACTAAACTGCTTGATTTGTTAAGGGGAAACAAATATTGGTCTAGAGTCTCAAAGCATCTCAGCTTCCTGGGGCTGTAAAATGCTTTAATCATGTCTTCAGGCCTGTTTTTTGACATTTACAAAATTAGAGAAATTAGGCATTTAGAGACCCAGTAACTGGCATACTGGATCAGACCAGTGGTGTATCTAGGCTACTGTCCTGTCTCATACAGTGATCTGTCTAAAGTACTTATACGGCTCCCATCGTTGTAGCATCTGAGTACTTCACAATCTTGAGTGTATTGATCCTCAACACCTCTGAGAGAGGGGGAAGTACTGTCTATCTCCATTTTACAGCTGGGGAACTGAGGCACAGAAAGACTAAGTACCTTGCCCAAGACCATATAGGAAGTCTGTGGCAGAACAGGAAACTGAACACTAATATCCTGAATACTAGCACTCTAGCCAGTAACAGATGTTTCAGAAGATATAAAATTCCCTTAATGGAGAACTGTGGGATAACCTGACCATATGGGAATTTTTCTCCTTATTCCAGACAGATAGTGATTGGCTTATATCTTAAGCATAAGGGACTATACCCCTTATCAATACTTATCCTTCCTAATGTAAATGTGGATGTTGTTGTTATCCATATTAATGTCGAATCCTTTTCAGAATCCTTCTAAGATCCTGGTCTAAGTGATATATTGTGGCAGTGAGTCAGGCTGGATGTAATTGGTTGAGAAAAAATAGAAATCGTCCTCTGAAATTTCATCCAAAGGTCGCCCTTTTTGGGGAAGATTAATATATTGAATTAATATTTCCCCTCTGCCTTCCCCCCCTTTTTTTTAATCTTTTGTAGGTTTTTTTGTTCTTCTGAATGTGGGCCAGGAATTGGAATCAGAATCACAAAAACAAAGCTAGAGAGGCTGTTCTCATAGTAATTCCAGACCAACCAGAATGAGGAAATACAAGAAACCCTAAAAGGAAAAGAATCTAACTGTTCTCTTAAGGTGTCAAGCCAAATTTTGTGGATTGGGTAATTGAGCTAAACTTCAATTAAGCACCCACGCTAATAAATAATTCATTGGTGTAGTTTGTAAGGTATTTTTGGGGAACAAAATTTGATGCTATACATATTTTTTCACCTAAAAAGGTCCAGTGGTAAAACATTCACTTGTTTCCAGTCAATACCAGTATATTAATTTGTAGCTAATAGTGACACTTCACAGATATTGTTACCTTAGTAGCTTTCCTAGACTTTCTGCCGTGTATTCATTTCCTTAATCAGCATTTGTGATCACCTTGTAGGTTAGGAATATGGGGAAGTTTTTACCAAGAAGTCATTCTTGAAGGCAAGATTCTTCTGTTGAATCCACATGGTGTTAGCTGCCTCCTTATATATTCACTGTCATTATGTCAATAGGACATCCACATGTGTTGTCATGACAACAGAATACAGCATGCCAAACCTAAATGCAATTGTAAAAACTCTGCCCCAAGTGCAGCCATTGGGATTTTAGCAATTTCCAGTGCAGCCTTCAATTTATTAGGTTATATTTGGGAAGTACTTGTCAAGGACACACTTTGCTTTTCTGCCTCTACAAACGCATTGACCTGAGGTGCAAAATCAGTAGCAAATGAAGTTTTATGCTGTTCTTTCTCTCAATGCAGTATCCTCTACTGATATATTTCTGAGAGCTGTATAGATGACTTTCTGATTGTTGAAACAATGGGTTATTTTCAAGTCTTCAGGAGCAATGTCAGCCTTTCATCAAAGGGGGAATAAAAAGGGTGATAATTATTTTGTTTATCCTGAATTAGCAGCTATTTTACCAGTGTAACAAAACCACTCAACAAAACAGATTAAAAATAGCCTGGCATGGGTCATACGTACCTTGGAAGCAAGGACTGGCTGCAGTCCACTAGTGTTGGAAGAGACTGAGTAGCACGTGTTGTCTATTCAGTCATAGCTATTTTCAAAGACAGTCTAAAGTCTGTGGTAACTTTTTCCTATTGAAGTGAGTAGCATTTTCAGACCACTTCATATCTGGTGTTTTTACAGAAGTGTAAATGGCAGCCTTATTGTGCAATATGGTATTTGAAGAGTCACTTCAATTGATTCTTAAAATACTAAACTGCACTGTAAAATCGTCACCTCAATCACTTCACAAAGATACAGTTGCTATAAATTTCAGTGGGGAGCAGCTGCAACAGATCTAAACTCCAGTTTATTTAAACTAGGTCCAACTATAACTTCTAAAAATAACACAGTCAATCCTAGAATGCTAACCTGACGATAACAACATACTCTTCTTTTCAATTTAAAGGCATATCATTTAGTATTGGTATACAAAGATGAGCCCATCTGGATACAGACTTGAGACCAACTGGAAATTCAGATCTTGGGTTTTTGGTGTAGCCCATCACAGAGATGGCTCTGAAATATGGCTCTGGATCTAGGTTCAGATTCCAGCCTTCATCCTAGAGTTCAGAGGTGTCCAGATTAAGGTTTCTGGTTGTCTTGTTAGATCTGAGAGAATACTTCATACTAGGTAATCTATTTGATGAATTTCACCTCTTTTGCTGATCACAAAACATGTTCAACTACATCATGAAATTCTCATTTTTATTTATAGAAAGTGTACCTGGAAGGGTAGAATATGTAGATTATTAAAATTCATTTTAGAACTCAAATATTCACAGAAAATTTTGTCCACTATTTACTCATCTCTAAGGTCTATATCTAATCGTTGGCTCAGGTACTCCAATCTGGCTGAGTTGTGCTTAGCACAAGACTGGTGGAAGGTTGGCAGAAGTGACATTAAGCTGCCCACATGCTCCCCCAGTTCTGGGACTGACAAGGAATCAGGCTAGCCCTCACTGCAAATTAGAGCAGACAAGGGATCATTTCAGATAAGATGCTGTGACCACATGACCTTTGTCCAGACACATGACAAGTCTCATATGGGAGTGGTGTAGGATATGCCAATTTTATGGCTTCTTTGCAACATTGGACACAGACACACCAGACAGTTGCATTTACTTGTCAGCAGAGTGAATTAAAAGATGTGTCCTTTTTGGAAAGAGTAGAAACCGTGTTAGCCCTCTACTTGGGTGAATTTCACCCTTTCTGATTATTTGCTAGCACACACAGCATATCTGGTTTATACCCACCCTTTTCATGCTTTCTTCCTTTCTGTTTTCTACCACCATTCAATGGAAAAGTAATATTTATATAGAGCACAAACACATTTTTCAAAAACCACAAAAGATTATCCAACTGGCCTAATAATTGACCAACAGAATTATAGTTCTTGACTGTTGCCATTTATGCCAGGGCTCAGTCCAGGTAGTTTGAGAAGGAACCTCATTACTTCTCATGATGGAATGTCAAAACTTAATGAGAATGAATCTTCCTAGTTCTGGCAACCGAAATCCAATATTGCCTAGAATGATCTTATTGGCCAGTTCAAAGGGCAGCCTAGATGCTCGGGGGCGGATTTTCAGACAAAAGTACATCTGATGCATATGATAATACAAGTGCAACTGGATTATTGGATGGTCAAATTGCTAATTATGGTCATTTCCATGTGTACTTGTGATCATTAGAAATGGAAATTATTGCTGGGAATGGTACTTCCTATCTTTGGGACTAGAAAGGAGTACCTTGTAGTAGAAAGGATGACAGTAGGGTAAAGAATGAACAACATAAGTAAACCCATCAAAAAAAATTAAAAAAGAGCATTAACATATCCCTGTCTGTCTGAAGACATTAAAATAAAAATATTTCCTCTTCTACAGCATTTGCATATCTTTTGCAATGAATTTGGTAACTGCCTTAACTAAGCAATGATTGTCTTAAACAGTTTGAATTGACTACGTGAACCTACTTCACCTGGCAGAAAAAAGCCCCATCTCAATTAGGGCTGACAAATGATTAAAAAAACAATCACAATTAAGTGTGAGATTAAAAAATACTATTTCTTTTATCTTTTTTTTCCAGTGCAAATATTTGTAATAAAAATATCAAGTGAGCACTATACACTTTGTATTCTGTGTTGTAATTGAAATCAATATATTTGAAAATATAGGAAAGCATCCAAAATATTTATAATAAATTTAAATTGGTATTCTATTATTGTTTAACAGTGCAATTAAAACTGTGATTAATCGCAACTGTGTTTTATCTAGTTTATGTTTTTGCATTAATCACATGTATTAACTGTGATTAATTGACAGCCCTAATCTCACTATAATAATCCCAGGACTAAGATTCAGGTATTTTATAATTAGAGTGCTTGATAAATCTCTCAAATGTATACTCATCAGACTAAGTGAACAGATCACACTATTAACAAATGTTTTACATAAATTACCTAGGTGGTGGTGTTTTTTTTTTTTTTTTTTTTTGAGAGAGAGAGAGGACACATGAAATACTAATTTGTGGGATGGTGGTGGTGGTGGTGGTGAGGGGGGGAGTTATATTATTAAAAAAAAAAAAAAAATCTG